TTTATTTATTTAAACACTTTATTGTACCACAAAGTAACTTACAAATTTACAGAAACAATTTAAATATTTGTGTACAAAGGCGAGCTTATCCCATAAAGAGATTTCTTCCAACTAACCTTTGAAAATCTGAGAGGAAAGTTGGTTTTTGGGGTGGCACTAAAAATAGATAAGTAAAGAAATGAAATATACTATACTCAATAAATACACAGATAAATTTAATAAATCAACTGTACATACGAATATATATATATTAAGTAATGTTGATACATTAATACATACAAAGTCTATAATAAATTGAATGTACAAAATAAAACTATAAATAAATATATCAAAAGTAAAAAAATATTTCAAAAGCTCTAACATGTGGAGTCTGAACAATCCCAAAACTTCAAAAGAGCACCCTTGAAAACCCGAACCGAAGGCGACTGTCTGACCTCGACCGGGAGAAGGTTCCACATACGGGCAGCATTTACTGTGAACGAGTTCGAATATTTTTGGGAACTGTGTTGTGGAAGGACGAGGGACAAATTGGTGCCAGAACGCAGGCGGTCACCCATAGCCTGACGGTATTGAAAACGCTCACGTAGATAGCTAGGTGAAGTGGGATGGAACAGGATTTTATAGAGGAAGCATAAAATGTGAGCATTTCTACGTAAACGAATAGGCAACAACTTCAACTCATCTCTAAACTTGGAAATGTGGTCGTACTTTTTTAATCCAAACACAAATCTGATACATTGATTTTGCAGCCGCTCCAATTTATTAAGAAAGTCCTCCGAAAGATCAAGATAGGAGACGTCACCATAGTCCAGAATAGGAAAAAGAAGAGTGCGTATTAGCATAAATTTGGTAGACAGAGGAAGAAAGTACTGCATCCGCTTGAGGGAATGAAGTGATGCAAAGATTTTACGACTTACATCGGCGACATGCTCCGACCAAGAAAGTGTCTGATCCATTATGATGCCCAAATTTTTAACTGAAGTGGAAAAAGGAATAATAGTGTCATTCAGAACTAAATTGGGCATCACCATAGACTCAAACTTGGAGATGGAATGGCGACTGCCAATAATTATGGCTTGGGACTTTTGTGCATTTAAAAGAAGTCCGTAGTTCTTAGCCCATACCGAAACCTTTTGTAGGTCGGAATTCAATGTGCCGATAGCAGTAACTACATCTTCAAGACGGGCTGCAGTATAGATTTGAAGGTCATCGGCATAGAGATGGAAAGAAGACGTGAGTGATGATGTAATTCCACCGATAAAGACCGAAAAAAGTATAGGTGATAAAACCCCACCCTGCGGAACGCCAGCCGTAAGGCTACACCAGTCCGAGTGCATGTCACCGGTCTTTACGAGCTGGGAACGATCAAATAAATACGAACGAAACCAGGATTCGGCTAAGGGAGGTAGATTTAAAGTTCTAAGCACAGCAAGAAGCAAATTAAAATCAACAGTACTGAAGGCACTGCTAAAATCCAATAAAGTGAGGACAGTAACTTTTTTATTTTCTATATTAAGACGAATGTCGTCAGTGATTTTCACCAGAGCAGAAACTGTGCTATGGCCCGCTCGAAAACCAGACTGCAGATGGTTGAAAATATCGTAACGTAGGAGGTGGTTAGTGAGTCGATTATGGACATAGTGCTCAAGGATTTTGGACAATACAGGAAGTATGGAGATAGGGCGGTAATGGGAGAAAGAAGAAGGATTTGATTTTTTAGGGAGAGGAATTACATGGGCTTGTTTCCATACAGCGGGAAACACACCACTGGAAAGGGAAAAATTAAGGATATGAGCTAGGATAGGAGCTACTAGGTCCTGTATTGGAGTGATCATGTCAAGACTCAAACCGTCATTACCAACAGCCTTCGTGGTGACAGACTTAAGTATTTTCAACACATCTGCTGTCGTAACCTTTCCAAAATCAAAAGAAGCTGAAGCAAGACAAGGTGCATTGGCCAGGACAGATAAAGTTCGCGATTTTATGACGGAATCTAAACATACTGGGGAAGATGCAAAGTAGTCGTTCAGCGCGTTAAGATCGACATTGAAGGGAAAGACATGATCAGCTTTACCGATACCCAGTGACTTCAAATATTTCCACATCTTAGTATGCGGACAACCTTCGATAGTGGAGTGAATATGCTTACGCCTGGCGCTCCTACAGAGCTTGTTGCAGCGGTTACGTAACTCGATGTAGGACTCACTATTGATTTTGGTTGGATTCTTCCGCAATCTGATACGTGCTCTGTTGCGCCTCTCCATAACCTCCTTGATATCTGGCGTGAGCCAAGGCGCGGGGAAATGTTTGACTCGGACAACTTGAAGAGGAGCATGCTTGTCAAAGATGGTCAAAATAATGGAGTTAAAAGCTTGAACCATTTCATTCACGTCCTCCGCTCCAAACACTAGCTCCCAATCAGAATTCAGCACATCATCGAAAAGGGAATTTTTGTCTATTTTAGCATAATTGCGGAGCATTAAGGTTTTATGTCTGCGCTTAGGTGGACGAATTTTGAACGAAGCATAAATTAAATCGTGTGAAGAAAAAACAGCAGCATTAAACTGTCCATGAGAATCAACCAGCTCAGGAGAAGAAGTGATGATCAGATCAAGAAGGGAAGGTTGACCATTATGCGGAAAGTGAGTGGGATACAACTCGAGGCAATTCAAAAAAAGTGAGTGGAAGAGTGAAAGCAACTTCCTCGATCGGCAGTCACGCTTAACAAGGCAGGTATTGAAGTCACCCATGAGTATAATATGTTCGTAGCGGGTACGTAGATCAGCCAGAACCGACTCTAGTTGCTCAAAATAGTCAACTCTTAGGTGAGGACTGTAAAAAACTCCCAGTAGGGCCCTAGTGTGGTGAAGAGTGACTTCTAAAAAAAGATATTCAGGAGAGTCCGCGCTAGTTACCGACTGTGCTACGATCTCGCAGTCAATGTCACATCGTAGATAAATCGCTACGCCACCTCCACCAACCATCCTCATACGACCGCCCTGGGATCCAATGGTGTAGGCTCGATCGTTACGAATGAGTCTAAAACCTGGTAAAGGGTACTGAGTAGATGGTAGGGAAGGTTTAAGCCATGTCTCCGAAATAAGGACTGCATGAATGTTTTTGCTAGTGAAAGATGTCACGAGATCGTTATAATGACTAGCAAGGCTTTGCGCATTAATATGCACAACGTTAAAGTTTTTCGATAGAGATGAGAAAGCAACCTTCAGTCTTTCCTCAAGCGAGGGCATGTCATCCTCTGCATCCGAAAAAGCAGTTGCAGAGGACGACAAAGAGAAATATTCAGAATCCGAATCAGTGTTCAAAACATCCGACATTGAGCTGATATAATTATAGTTTATGTATAAATAATAGTGTTTATAAATATAATATAAATATAAAATAAATATAATATTATATAGTATAATGTAATATAGTATAATATAATATAATAGTATTTATGAAGACAAATTAACCTTTCCTTTTCAATCAGCTTTCGCCAGCAGCTATTACAGTAAAAGAAAAACAAATTTAAAACCACTAAACTTAATAATAAGAAAGACAATAGGTATGAAATAACGACAATGAAATAACGGCATTTACTGTGAGAAAAAAAAAAAGAAATAATTAAAAATAAAGAAATTTAAAGTAATTTGCAATAAATTAAAGAATTTTATAACTACACGCATTATCAATTCAAAAAAGTTTAACACAATGAAATTATAAAATGTTCAACAATAACAGTTCTTCCCTAAGGTACTTGCGTGAAACAGAACGTAACTAGCATAAAAAAAAAAATAAAAAATAAATGACATTAACTGTCAACAAGCAGAATTTTGAACTTTTAGAGGTTACGCATAAAAATAATAAAAGTAAAAGTGGGGTGAAATGAGAAAGTAATTTTGCTGGAAATTATTGAACCAAAATAAATGCTAACAAGAAAACGAAGTACATTGCTTGCTACGCACTGCAGCCGACAATTCGGCATATTATTTGGATTTCGCAGCTGCAGATCTTGTGGGGCGAGTTTTACTTGGAGGCCGGTTGGAAACATCATGTGCTCTCGATAGCGGTGGATTAATTGAGTCACCAACAGCAGACCTTGAGGAGCTACAACCTGTAGCTGAGTTGGATGGATTTGACGGCGGCGTCGGTTTGCAGGTCGTGAAGTCCGATAACTCGGTCATATTTGTGACCTTCTTTTTCGTCCCATCGGAACAAACCACTACGACTTTGCCATTCATAGTCCAGCAGCCCTTGATGCCGAGTCTTTTACGGGCTTCCACAAAAACAGCATGCCTACTGGCAGTGAGGAATTCAGACAGGGTTATACCAGTGCCTTTCAAGCCACGTTTAGCAGCCCATACTCTCTGGCGCAGTTGATGGTCACAGAAACGTAGAAGTATTGGACGAGGCTTTCCCATGGCCACATTCCTCCCCAGTCTGGAGCATACGGTTAGAGAAGGCTGAGATACTTCGCTTATACCTAAGTTGTTACAACAAATGTCTAGAGCTTTTCTCATTGTATTCTCATCTCTTACTTCAGGCACACCGTGCAAGAGCAAGGCATTCGAACGTGACCTCATGTCAAGATCATCTAAGGCCTGATAGATGAATTCCAGCTGTGATCTAAGACCTGAGACGGCCTTCCATATAAAAGATTTAAAAGTATGGAACTCACTGGAAACCACTGCTGAATCTTGTCTGGGAGATGCAAGTGAAGTCTCAAATATTTCCATTTTACTTGCAAAAAGGGCAGCCAGCTCGTCCATGTTCTTTCTCAGCATACTGATGTTGTCCATTGCTGGTTTTGTGTGACAAAACTTGTGTGTTAATTAATTCAACAGTGAAGTGGTTTAATGTGGTGAATGTTAGCTGGTGGCGAAACTGTCAATTACTATAATGCATTTATAGCATGTAAGTCTAAAAATTTCAAAAACTACTATTTTTAAACGTGACTAAATAGGAGTATTAGATAAAGGCGTGTTTTTCGCTTACGCCTACCCGCGAATCTCCGAAGTACTGCCACCTTACCTATTTCTGCCGCCAAGCAGTAATGTGAACATTACTGCGTTCCGGTTTTGAAGGGTAAGGGTGCTGCTGAAATCATAGGCATATGGGACATGTCAACTTGTTTTAGGGTGACGGACGCAGTGGGGGTGCCCCTCAGATCTTTGCGATTTAAAGCTCTGAGTGGCACTGCAACTGATATGGACAGGCGTGTCGCTTACCACCAGGCGCAAGACTTGTTCGTCTCGTCACTAGATATTATATAAAAAAAAAAACACTCTCATCCGCACACATTTTTTTGTTTCACACAACTTTGTCTTACCTATACTTACCATATTTCTCATTTTTAGTGTGCAACTAAATGACGCAGAAGACGGGTGCACTGTTTTCATAACCAACATACCATTCAATATAGACAATAATCAACTGAAGGAGTTTGCTGAGAGAACTGGACCCGTCAAATACGCATTAATCTGTATGGATAATCTCACAGAACATTCCAAGGGTTCGGGCTTTGTTAAGTTTGCCGTAAGTTTTTTTTTGTAAAAGTAGTTTAGTATTGTTTATATTAGGTAAGGAATTGGTTTTACTCGAAAGGCGAATTAAAATTGGCTGTTACAGATGACTTAATTTGTAATTAAGTATTTACTATTTTGAATAAAAAACAAGATAATTAAAAAAAAATTCGAATGAGGTAATAACAAATTTCTTTTTGAGTTAATTTTGGGAATAAAACTTTATTATTGTTTTGACAATTGACATACATGTCTGTAGCACAGAGCAGATATTTTATTAATTTTTTTTAGAACAATGAAGATGCAAACCGTTTCTTATCCCTTCCACAATCTGAGCTGAAACTAGACAGTCAGACGATGCAGGTAAAGCCTGCTCTCAAGAAGGAGAACTTACAGAATGGGAAAAAGAAGGAACCTAAGGATAATAGAAACTTGTATTTAGTTAAAGAAGGAGGTAGGTTCGTCTATTTATCTATATAAATTACTAAAGTTTAGACATTTTGAAACATTGTTTAAAACGGAGTTTTTAAGTGTGCGTGCCAACCCTTGAACATAAACAAAATTTTATTGAAGAATTACAAATTAGATTGACTGATTTAGTATTATTGACCTTCTGCTTTCAGTCATTGTAGCGGGAACCAAAGCTGCAGTTGGAGTTTCAGGTTCAGATATGGCTAAACGATTGGCTCTAGAAAGAAGTAAAACGCAAATGCTCAAGAATTTAAACAGATTCGTATCACGATACCGCATTGTGGTCTCTAATCTACCTGTGTTTTTCGACGATGGGAAACTGAGGAAGATATGTGCTAATGCCGTTAGTAGAAATGCTGTTATAACGGAAGCAAGAGTTATGAGGGACTTGAGAGCTCCTCCGGGGAAAGATGGGAAGCATCCGTAAGTGAATTAATAATAAGGTTTAAGAGTTAATAGGGCTACACTCATATTCCTCAATGCCGCGGATAGAAAGTGAATTAAAATATACTTTTCTGACAGCCGTCTTTGAGTCACAAATTCTTTTTAGGGGTGCAATATATATGCTTCGATAATTATATTTTGGTTGATATTTAAAATTGCAATTTACATTATTGAAACAAACTTGGCGCTAAAAATCCAAGGTAGTCACCCATTTAGCGTTAGCAGGTTGGTTGTATCGATGACTGATATTTGTATTTTAATATACATGTGTACCAATGTTTATTTACAAAAAACAACCGTAGAGTTTTTACTTATTCTTCTTTCAGGAATCTGCCTTATGAATGAGTAGCAAAGTTTAATCAATATGACGTTTTAAAGTGTAATTTATACTTACGTATGAAAATATAGATTATTAAATATAGAATATTCAGAATTCCCTTTTAAGGCTACAGATCGTCATATACTACTATCATCAATCTCAACCTATGACCAAAGCATTCCCTTTTCTATCCCAGTTACTATCTATATTGAAACCACTAGGCTGTTTTTAAGAGACACATTACATACCATGCAACACTATCATATTTATGACATTGTGTGTATATGCACTTTGATATTCTGAACAAATGAATAATTCAGAAGATAAAATGAAACTTATATAAAACTTATGTTATACTTCATATGCCAAAAGGTTATGTAAGTTGGTTCAAAGATCAATTTGATTTCCAGTTCAAAAGGTTACGGCTTTGTTATGTTTACGAGACACGAAGATGCTTTGGCGTGTCTAAGGAAGTTGAACAACAACCCTGACGTGTTTGACAACAACAATGTAAGTATTTAGAGACAAATCAGTTTTTTATTCTACCATGTGGGGGGACGAAAATGTCGTGACCCTGGTGTTAAGCGACACAGCTACCCATAACAGTTACAGTGCCTCTCAGAGCTTTAAATCGCAAAGACCTGACGGACCCTGAGACATGAAGTTGACGAGTCCCATGCGTTTCAACAGCACCCTTACCCTTCGAAACCGGAATACTGTAATGATCATATTACTGTTTGGTGGCAAAAATAGGTATGATAACAGGAGTCACAAGAAGCTCTATTTATGTAAACTGTAGCTGGGCTTTTTTGGGGTGTAGTCATGAGCGATAGTATCGCAACTGAACTACGTACGTAAGGCAAGCGTGAATGATAAAATGATGCTTGTAATCTGTTGAGTGATTGTGTCTTTGGAAACAAAGGCTATACCCGCCATGAAAATAATTCCGCAACAAACATTGCGACAGTACAAATTTGACTCGTCTTTGTTATACATACATATACATGATGATTTTTGAGTACAAATATTTGAACAGTATTGTATGTAACTGGTTAATAAATGAGTGACATCCGTGTTTTTGTTTATGATAATTTGCAATTGAATAAAATTGGTTTTTAAAATGATGGCTTCCCGATTTTCGCGTCACTTTATTCGTCTAGAAGGTAATTTATATTGCTTACTCGTAAAATTTTTTAAAAACTGCTTACAGAGACCAATAATCTCGTTTTCTATCGAAGACCGCACCGCGTTAAACGCCCGAAAGAAACGCCTAGAAAAATCCATTGCCAACAATCCAATAGCCAAAATAGAGGAAAACGAAAAAAGCGATAAGAGAAATAGGAAACGAAAAATGAAAATGCCTCCAGATGAGAGCTACGTTAAAAAAGGAAGGTTCCAGAAGAATAAAACATTCAATGAAGTTGGGAAGTTCGTTAAAAGACCAATAGACATAGATGAATTCGCTGGGATAACAGCTAAACAAGGTAATCAACATAAAATAAGGAGCAATCAGAAGTTACGAAGCCAAGCTGAAGTACATCGACAGAACGTGAAGTTTGAGAAGAAGAAAAGTGAACGAGCTAAGCGATTAAAAATGGCGGCGAAAGAAAGAGTTAAACAACCTAAACAGCCTATAAATAAAAACAAAACAACAAAAAGGAGGAGATTCAAGCGAAACAAGAGTGTGTTGTAATCTACGGGTTTGTTTTAGTAACCGACAACGGCGAAGCCAAAAGGAGGTTTATTTCACGCGTATGACAATGGGTATGTATATAATTGTATATTAACATCCTACTTGATCATGGCATTTAATTGTTTATAATAAAATATTATTGAAAAATATATTTTTTTAATTTTAGTGTAACTATGTAGAAATTATCTACATAGAATGAATCAGTAGAATCTTGATAACTCGAATGTCAAGGGAAACCAAAAAAATTCGAGATAGCAAGTTTTCGACTTAACAAGAATTTCGAGATATGAAGAGTTAACTCGTCAAATTTCGACATAAAAAGGCACAATTTCATAGAACATTTATTACGACAAATTACATTAGGTAACATAAAATGAGAGTCAAGTACATAATTATTATGTTTTAAATAATTGATAAAAAATCTGTTATCTTCGTTTGATTCAAGCCATTTACAGATTTTTTATCAATTATTTTTTCTAGTTCATATAGTGAACCGAATATATGATCCTCGATATCATTACATCTTTCAATGTAAGTTCGTAGTGTATCAATTGCTGCTCTTGCTTCTTTATTTGACACCGATGGTTTTAAATCTGCTGGATCAGTTTGATCATCGTCATTTTGATTATCGTTATCGGCGTCTCCATTCTGATTAACGAAATCAATGATTTCAGCATCAGTTAATGTACCAGTAGTAGCTAGCCCTTCATCGCATTCCACATAATCTTCAAATTGACCTTCTATGTTCTGAAGTCTATTCCAGTCAACTTCTAAGCTCGATTCTGGCTCAAGAGGTTCTTCTGAAGGTTCTTCTTGTGTCATCGAAAATCCACAACTTCTGAAACAGTTCGATATTGTTGTCGCAGACACACTTCTCCAAGCTTTGTCTGCCATCCTAATTGCATCCAATACGTCAATACGAGAAGGTGAAGCGGAGTGTTGTTCCATGTCAATTATCAGTTTTCTGACCACTTCCTTTCGGTAAAAAGATTTAAAGTTCTTTATTATGCCTTGATCTAAAGGCTGTAACTTAGATGTTGTGTTGGGTGGAAGAAATTTAACTTTTATTGCTTTCAATGGCGGGATTATGTTGTGAGCAGTACAGTTGTCAATGAAAAGCAATATTTTTCGTTTCTCTTTCGTCATTTTCTTATCGACTTTAATGAGCCATCCTTTAAATATTTCGGCTGTCATCCAAGCTTTCTTATTTGCATCATACTCCAATGGAAGAGTTTGAATACCAGAAAAACAACGAGGCTTTTTAGCTTTTCCTATAACCAACGGTTTAAGTTTTTCAGTGCCTGTCATATTAACTGCCTCCGTGGCCTAACGGTTACCATGCCGGACTGCCACGCAGAGGTCCCAGGTTCGATTCCCGGGCCGGAAGAAATAGTTGTATGGCCTACAATTATTTCTCTCGTGAGTTTGGATGTAATTTGTGGTTGTCTATGTGTGTGTCCATGGCACCCGCGACACAGGGTTTCCCTAGTGCGGGGCCATGTTGAGTGTGTGCGTTATTATTATTATTATTATTATATTATTATTATTTGTTGCTAGCAATATTGTTAATCGCTCTTTACTGTGCTTCCCACCATGGCATTTCTCGTTTTTAAAAATTAACGTTTTGTCAGGTAAACACTTGAAAAAAAGGCCAGTCTCATCGGCATTAAATATGTCTTTTAGTTCATAATCTTTCAATAAACTCTGCAACTCAATATTCCACTCATCACATATCTCATTATTGACACTTGCACTTTCGCCGCAAACTTTTTTAAACACAAGTTCGTGACGCTTTTTAAAATTCATCAACTAGCCATTGCTGGCGCGAAAAGAATTGTGTCCCAATGATTTTGAAAATTCTTCGGCCTTTTCGCGTAATAAAGGCCCAGATACACTTATGTTTTTATCACGACACTGTTTAAACCAGGTGATTAAGCATTCCTCTATGTCGGGAAACTCGGCTAGACGTCGTCTTTTGCTTGATAAATTGCTGGTTGATTCGTATCTTAGCAATATGTCGGCTTCATTCTTAATGATTGTAGATAAAGTGCTTGCTGGTAGTCCATACTGAGCTGCCACGTCTTTTTTCTTCATGCCACTTTTAACCGCATTGATAACGGCAATCTTTTCACGTAAAGTTAAGGTCGTTAGTTTTCTTTTAGTACTCATTTTGTTGCTCGTTATAGATCGCGACACATAAGTTGAACAATGCGCAGAAGGCGATTTCACGGTCTCAACTGAAGTGCGGTATGGGCTGCAACGAAAGGGGCGAGGCGTAACTATAGCAACGTAGCGACAATTGGTCTACGACTCACCCCGCGCGCTCCCCGCCCCGAACATTCCTTTTTGATTTTATTGCCACGAGTTTTGAGGTCCGGGAATCCCGATTAAGAAATCATTATACATATTTTATGAACTTCGACTTACTGAGGTAGGTATTTGCAGTTCGAGTTACTGAGTATTAAAATGTACGAGTAATGCCTCACAGGGAAATAACTTATTGTTCGAGTTACTGAGTCTAAAAAATTCGAGTTACTGCGTCGTTTGGGGTTCGGCGGAAGGGAATAGCATATCTTTTCGATTTACTGAGGATTACGACTTAACAAGGTTCGAGTTATCAAGATTCTACTGTATTTAATTATATTATACGTAACTATTCATAGTTAGTTATTGTATTTGGTATAATTCTCCCAACTACAAATCTCTCATTCTGAACTCTTTCTTCAGGAGTTCGGGTAGAGGGTAGCTCTTTGTATCGCCATTATGAGCACTTTCCCATATTGTGTGCTTTTTATATGAGCATACCTTTGATGAGTGGTCTTGGTTTTGCTTCATTGTCACAATTAAAAACTTACGAAAGCGTCATATTTCTGCAGTTTTGATTTTGCTTTCTTTGCCCGCTTGGCATATTTCTTTCCCGAGGAATTGTTTTTAACAACAAGATCGCCTGTTATCATCAGTTTCTCTGTCGGTCCATTCCTCAGTCTATACATCACTTTATTGTAATTAATATATTTACATTACTGTTCTGCGTTGTTATTGTAATGTTTAAAGTGTTAAAAGAAATTTTGTTAACGAAAAACTTTCTTCAGAAACAAGTATAAATGGATTTGATTTGACAAATCATCAGACGACTATTGACACAGTGACGTTCTGAAATGCTCTTTCTGTCATTTCTCAAGATCGGCTAAATTCACTTTTTTGGTCTTCTCCTATCGTTGAGATTTTACAACCAATCCCATGTTCTTAATTTGATGATAGCCGTAGTCATGTGTTTTTGACGTTTTTCCATCAGGTTAATAGCATGAAAATGACAATTGACCGCGAATACGATTCACGGCTGTCGTCTCATGAGAAAACATCGAAAAGTAGATGATTACGAAATACATCAAGTTACAGAACCTCGTTGCTAATTGCAAGCGATTTATCACTTGTTTGCGCTTCACAGTACAGTATTGTTTACAATCAATCATGTATCAAACACACTGTTCCCGTTGAAGTTTAATGGGATTGACATTTTTATTGATAAAGGACTTAGGGACTGCAAGAAAAACCCCGCCCGTACCACATTGGCGGCATAAGCTACACTATATTCGACTTTTTTGGTTGTTGTTGTTAATATAATATGGTGTTATGGTATTGGATTTTATTTGACAAATCATCAGACGACTATTGACACAGTTAATGTTCTGAATTTCTCTTGCTGTCATTTCTCAAGATCGGCTAAATAAACTTTATTGGTCTTCTCCTATCGTTGAGATTTTATGACTAATCCCATTTTCTTAACTTGGTGATAGTCGTAGTCATGTGTTTTTGACGTTTTTCCATCGGATTAAAAGCATGAAAATGAGAAATGATCGCGAATACGATTCACGGCTGTCGTCCCATGAGAAAACATTGAAAAGTAGATGATTACGAAATCCATCAAGTTAAAGAACCTCGTTGCTAATTGCAACCGATTTATCACTTGTTTACGCTTCACAGTATTGTTTACAGTGTTGGGCAAAATTTAATTGTTCTGGCAATTAAAGATTGACAATTAATTAATTGTCAATTGCGAAACAGCAATTAACAATTGATCAATCGTTAATCGCAAATATCTACAATTAACAATTAATCAATTTTCAATCTTTTCAATGTTTTTGATTAACAATTAACAATTAAAACTGACAATTATGATAAATTTATAGGGCATATGGGGGTGAGTTAGCGCGTTGGTTATGGGGGCCCCGGTTGGGGGCCCCTCTTGTGGGCCCGGTTGGGGATCCGGTTGGAGGGCTCCAGGGCCCCGGTTGATGGCCCTAGTTGGGGCCCCAGTTGGGAGCCCCGGTTAGGGGCCCTAGTGGGAGCCTCAGTTGGGGCCCCAGTAGGGAGCCCCGGTTGGGGGCCCTAGTGGGAGCCTCAGTTGGGGGCCCCGGTTGGGGGCCCCGGTTGGGCGCCCCAGTTGGGGGCCCCAGTGGGGCCCCGGTTGGGCGCCCCAGTTGGGGGCCCCGGTTGGGGCCCTAGTGGGAGCCTCAGTTGGGGGCCCTAGTGGGGGGCCCCAGTTGGAGGCCCCAGTTGGAGGCCACAGTTGGGGGCCCCAGTTGGGGGCCCCGTTTGGGGGCCTTAGTTGGGGGCCCTAGTGGGAGCCCCAGTTGGGGGCCTCGGCTAGGGCCCCCGACTGTGGCCATAACTGTGGCCCCAACTGGGGCCCCTAACCGGGCTCCCAACCGGGGCCCCCAACTATGGCCCCAAATGCGGTCCCAACAGGGGCCCCCACCTGTGGCCTCCAACTGGGGCCCCCAACCGGTGTCCCCAACTGTGGCCCCAACTGAGGCCTCCAACCGGGGCCCCCATCTGTGGCCCCCATCTGTGGCCCCCAACCGGGGCCCCCATCTGTGGCCCCCAACCGGGGCCCCCATCTGTGGCCCCGACTGAGGCCCCCAACCGGGGCCCCCATCTGTGGCCCCGACTGAGGCCCCCAACCGGGGCACCCATCTGGGACCCGACTAGGGCCCCCAACTGGGCCTCCCATTAGGGCCCCCAACTGGGCCTCCCACTAGGGCCCCCAACTGGGCCTCCCACTAGGGCCCCCAACCGGAGCCCCCAACTGGGGCCCCCAACCGGAGCCCCCAACTGGGACCCCAACTAGGGCCCCCAACCAGGGCCCCAACCGGGGCTCCCAACAGTGGCCCCAACTGTGGCCCCAACTGTGGCCCCAACTGCGGCCCCCAACTGCGGCCCCAACTGCGGCCCCCAACTGCGGCCCCCAACTGGGGCCCCCAACT